CAGCGAAACTTCTTCTACTACGATCGACCTCTTGTGGACCAAAAGAATCCATGGAGAACCAACGTTTCGTCGTCATTCAAATTTACGTGTTTGCTTAGCGTTTGAAAGGGTGTGGGTGTGGGTATGGGGTGTGGGTGGGTGGGTGTTGGGTGTGGGCGTTGGCCTACTCTTCATGCACACCCACACCCACACACTCACACCCACACTCACATCCTACACCCACACCCACACCCACACTCACACTCACACTCACACTCACACCCACACCCACATCCACACACACCGACACCCACACCCACACCAACACCCAAAAAAGAGCACAGCTATAAAATATATGGTATCTTAAAGTATTTTTATTTTTTATTTTTCTCAAAATCTGAAGGCAGAATAAGAAAAGGAGCATCCAATGAATAGATGAATTAGGTTTAACATTGAATATTCAATAAAGACGAGAATATTTATAGCTCAGTTCATTCATTATAATCAAACAATCAGCACTAGTTAACTTATGTAGTAATCAGAGGGTGAATGCATGAGTGAAAAGAAGGCCTTCACTTTTATTCTCACGTATGCTTTTACATTCAGCCATTCACATACATACAGAAGCAAAAAAGATTTTTTTGCAAAAGCAATACACTTCTTTCTCTTTTTTGAGCTGACGCTCTTTTAAAGGCCATTTGCATTGCAAGCAATGTGTGCGATGATTTTAAGAGTAAATCAACATCTACCACTTTAAGATGGATGCATGTGAGTTTTTATTGCCATTCCTCTTCACGATAAGGTAAAGAGAAATGTACAGCCTGCTGCTATATGAGTTAACATTCTGCGATTTTTAGTTTCGGGTTTATTGGCGATTGTTTCAATGAGATCAGAATGATGAGGAAGGGTCAACCATTTTGGTGAGATAGGCGATCATAAAAATAACAGAGCGTAAGACAACTCCTTCAAAATAATCCCTCATACTCCTTCTATGTGTAACTTTATGTTTATTCATCTAAACACACGTTTAAAATGCTGTAGTGAAGTTGTCAAAAAGAAAAGAACTCCATTGAACCGGTTGTAAGGTAAAAATGAATTAAAATAATCATTCAACGAGATCAAAGAGAACATTTCACCATTCATAAGTTTTAGCGAATCAGTCGTTGTGCGGTATGGGTGTTACCAAAGAGAAGACTCACACGCTGACATCCACACCATAGGCTGATAATACGAACAGAAGAAATATGAATTTTTTACTCTGTGATGATATTCAAATATCTGTTCGCAAACAAAGTGACTATAACAAAGTAGATTTTGACCATAATCTCAGGCGCCGACGAGAAATAAAAATGATTTCTAGAGATTATTCTTAATGATGAGTATCTGATATCTGAAAAAAATATTTTTTATACGCAGATGGTGTCTGACCAAAACTAATATGATTGCATCTCCGAAGTTTTCCTGGAAAAACTGAAGTTGTCTGGACACATAAAGCCTTGAGGGTTCTAATATGAAAGGAACTTCTAATAGCGGCGGATCTTCTTCTCCGTGGAGTGGTTCACTATGTTTGCTTTCATTTAGAAATATTTATTCATTAAGCTTGGTTAAATGGGAATCTCTTCTGGAGCCGCAAAGTCAACAGCAGCAAGACCAGCCCTAAAAAGAAACTATTTGAACAAAACAAATGAACTAACGTATTCTGAAAATGAGATTGTTCAAAATTTTATTCTCATTTGGTTAGATGCGATCACTGGTGATCCGGAAGATTCTCACTATACTTTATCTCAATTACAAAAAATCGTTAATTCAATTACACTACATACTGATGTGGACGCATCGTGTAAATTTATTCAAAAGGAAAGAGATGAACAGATATTTCTTATTGCATCTGGAACCCTCGGAAAAACATTAGTGCCACTTATTCATCATTATGTTCGACTTGATTCCATTTATATATTTTGCCAGCAACCATCGTTTCACGGATGGACAGAAAAATGGAAAAAGATAAAACTTGTTTCGAATCAAATTGAACGTATTTGCCAAGCACTTGTAAGGGATATTTCGCAATGTGAGCAAGATTTAACTCCAACTAGTATTCTATCATCGAAAGATTCTTCAAATCAAGATTTACAACAAGTCGATTCATCATTTATGTATTCACAGCTGATAAAAGAAATTCTACTTGAAATGACCTATGACGAGCGAGCAATAAAGGAGCTTGCTGATTTTTGTCGAAAAAAGTACAAGGAAAATGTTGATGAATTAAAAATTATTAATGAATTCGAAAATCATTATCACGAACATCCACCTATCTGGTGGTATACACGTGAGTGTTTTACTTATCAAATGCTAAACAGTAGTTTGAGAACTTTCAAAATTAATACTATTGCTACGATGGGCTTCTTTATGAAAGATATTCATGAACAAATCAAAGAAATACATTCGAAAAGATCCAATAGAATGGGACCATTTATCGTTTATCGAGGTCAAGGAATGCTTAATGACGAATTTATGGAAATACATAATAATATCGGTGGTCTACTTTCATTCAATAGTTTTCTTTCTACTACTGTGGATTTAAATGTTGCAATGAAATTTGCACAAAGATCTGTAGGTCGAGATGGCAAAACTTCCGTTCTATTTGAAATAGAAGTCGACCCGATGTTAACATCAACGCCATTTGCTTCGTTGAATAATGTGAGTTATTATACAAAAAAAGAAGAAGAGATTCTTTTCTCGATGCACACTGTTTTTCAAGTCGTTCAAGTCAAAGAGCACAATGATCACATTTGGAAAATCAATTTGAAATCTGTGAGAAATAATGATTTACAAATTACACGATTAACTGAACAGATGCGACGGGAAATCGGTGAAGGTAGTACAATCGACCGATTAGGTCGATTGATGATTACATTAGGCGAAATCGAAAAAGCCGAAGCAGTCTATGAACTATTACGTGAATTAACACCTGAACATGATAAAAAAATATTTGCCTGGATACGTAATCAATTAGGATACATTAAATATAAACAAGGATGTTATACGAAAGCTCAAGAATTCTATAAAGATGCACGTGAAATTCAAGAAAAAATGCGTCCTTCAACTGATATTGATCTAGCAGTTACTTATAGTAATATGGGTTTGCTGTATACAAACTTAAACGACACTTCTAATGCATTGTTATATCATCAAAAAGCTCTTGAAATACGAAAAAAAAATCTCAAAGTAAACCATCAAGATCTAGCTACTACTTATAACAATATTGGACTCGTATATTATGAAAGGCAAGAATTTTCAACTGCTTTGTCATATTATGAAAGGACACTTAAAATATATCAAGAAATTCTGCCAGAAAATCATCCTTGGTTGGCTACAGCCTACAAAAATATTGGTCTTGCCCAAATATCGATGAAAGAACGCATGACCGGACTCAATAATCTTTGCAAAGCAATGGATATACGAAAAATGGTTCTTCCGTCTAATCATCCATCGATAGCATCTATATGTTGTAGCATTGGTGAAGTATATAGAGAAACAGGAGACTACTCGACTGCATTCAAATTCTATGAAGAAGCACTAGATATTGAAAAAAAGGCTCCTAAAATTAATTATTCAAGTTTAGCTATGACTTATTACAAAATATCGAGAATATTAAATGAGCTCAAGCAATATGATAATGCTGTGAAATATGCCGAACTTGCTGTTCAGTCGGCTACGAAGTCATCAACACCAAATGATGAAGATGCAAAAAAATTTGTAGACAACTTCGAACGACTTCAAACAAAACTATAATGACTACGTTTTGTTGACACTATTTTTTTAAAACGAATGTAGGCATGGATGTCGATCTCCTTCTCTTTATTCAAATACTTACACTCCAAATTGAAATTTACTTTTAAACAAAAGAAAATTATTTTGTAATTTTGCGCCTAGCTAAAAATAAATTTTTACCTCAGACAAATGCGATTCTTTTGTATTTTTTTCAATGTATAAAGTTGAACAGATATAGACGATCTATGTTTAACAGGAACATCTAAGTTATCATTCAAAATTTATTGTACTCAACTGATATACTTATTGAGATGGTAAGTTATTAGTAAAAATATTAAAATAACTTTATCAAATTTGTTTTTCATTCTATTTTCATCTTAACCATGACTAAATCTATTTTTGCAGTAGACTGTATAAGAATCCAATGATAAAAATGGTTCACAGCGAGTGCGTGACTTATATTTTTCTCTTTTCAACAAAAAAAAAACAGATTAGAAAAAATTTGATATAGTTTGACACGTTTTCTAGTAACGCATTCTTTTGACAATCATGTCAATCGAGTACCCAGGTTAATAGTTCCAGCAGGTTCCCGCAGGAAAGTTAGGGAAAAAGGTAGGAGCTTGGAAGCAGAAATCTCTTGATCAAATCCGATGGACGGATTTGATCTAGTTACACTCGTAACCATGCAGAACTGGCCATCAGATCTAATTATTGGATTCCTGTATCCATATTTCTTGATCTGGATATAGGAAGTTTTGCATGATAATTTAGATGTTTCCAATATATATGTTCTATGTCTGTCCAGCTTTATGTATTGAGGGTGTGGGTGTGGGTGTGGGTGGACGTGGATGTGGGTATGGGTGTTGGTGTGTGGATGTGGGTGTGGGTGAGTGTGGGTATGAGTGGGTGTGAGTGTGGGCTGTGAGTGTAGGTGTATGGGGTAAGACTATCAATATTCACAGACCTACACCCAGGCCCAAACCCACACTCACACCCTATTTTGTTTAAAAAATTTCAATTTGATTAACAATTTTCAAATGCAAATTTAGTTGGAACTGTTGGTTTACATGGAAAAATAAAAGAGGGTGTGGGTGTGGGTGTGAGTGCGGGTGGGTGTGGGTGTGGGTATGGGTGTTGGAGTGTGGATGTGGGTGAGTGTGGGTGTGGATGAGTGTGGGTGAGCGTGGGTATGGGTGAGTGTGAGTGTGGGCTGTGGGTGTAGGTGTATGGGGTAAGACTATCAATATTCACAGACCTGCACCCAGGCCCACACCCACACCCACACCCATATCCACACCGACGCCCACACCCACACCCACATCCATACCCACACCCACAACCATACCCACACCCATAAATACAGATCTCCATTCAATAATTTTGCCTATTGTACCTTCAACTTCGAAAGAAACGAATATTATGTTCAGGTTCAGCGCAAAAAGCTGTATCAAATAGTATATTCCAAAGTCATTTATATCGAATTCGATCCTTATACCTCTTCACTATTATTTTCGAATCCTTGCGCTGCGGTTTCCCTAACATCAAAATTTCAGGAAAATCAGATTCGACTATCGAGTATAGTAGTTGTTTTATTTCGAAACTGAAGTTCTACTTATCAAAAATTGTTGAATGCAAGTCTGCATTTATGACTTGTAATATCATATGGAAACAAAATCTATTATCTCAACAATCAGACAATGTTTTTCAAAAGTCATAGAGAATTTTCTTTTCTAACTATACGCAGAGTAATTAGCGAGGGATCCAGAATTTTTTTAGTATGCTGGATTTCATCTTTAGAGCGTGGGATCCAAATGAAAATTATAGAGGTATGATATTAGACTCAAATGATGAATTTGTATCGAAAAATTTTGCAATAGGAGTCTGCGAAGAATATTAGCATTTTCCTGAGCCCCCTCAAAAGTTTTCTTTTGCTATTTGTAGTATTCTATAGTTTAGAATTTAATAGTCAGCTACATCACAATTCATCGATAGATTTCAAATTTCATCTAAAAATCCCCGTCTGTTAAGGAGTTCTAACTTTTTGAATGTTCTCTAAAATTTTAGCAGTATGTAACAAAAATTCAAAACGTTATAACTCCTTAACGGATAGGAATTTTTAGATGAAATTTGAAATCTATCAATGAATTTTGATGTAGCTTACTATTAAATTCTAAAAAATAGAATACTACAAATAGTCAAAGAAAACTCTTGAGGGAGCTCAGGAAAATGATAATTTTTTTCGCAAACTCCTATTGCAAAATTCTTTCGATAAAAGCTCATCATTAGAGTCCAATACCATAACTATATAAGTTTCATCTGGATCCCATGCTCGAAAGATAAAATACAGCATACTAAAACATTCTGGATCCGCCACTATGAGTAATAATGAAGCTATCAAGACTTCATGTTTTTGGCATACTTCGGTTTCCATAGACTTTTCTGATTTTCCTTAATACACTTCCCTTAAGTTCCATCACAAGAATATTGTGTGTTTATATGAAAAAAAAAATTTTGTCTTTATGAAAAATGTAACATGGCTTTCATTTCATGCGTATGTGTTCCTTTCTAAGATAACAATGTGTTTTCGATTGCGTCAATTGACCAGCTTAAAAATTGAACATGTTTGTTTTCAAATTTCAGACTACTATTTTTCTACAATAAAGGGTATCTCAAAAGTTTCGATCCCTCCTTGTAAAATGATGTTATCTATATCAAATATATTTATAGGTACTTGATTGAAACATACCGCTGTGGAGAGAATGAGAAGAACTATCATCTGAAAAAAATATAATTCAAATTGTTTCATAGTTATGAAAAGTTATAAGCATTTTACAGGTTACAGTTTTTGCAAAAACAAAAAAGTTCTTCAGTGTATGAGTCATTAAAGGTGGTGGAAAACATTGTTTTCTATATTTTTTAATAGAAATTTTTACATGATTCGGTCGAGTCCAGAAAGCTCTACAAAAATATGAAACGAAAATATGTCGATCTTCTTTCTAATATAAAATTTGAAGACAACCAGAAGCACTAATAAAAAATTCACATATCTTGCATTAAAAAGTATGCTTAACTTTCAATAGTCTTAACTGATCGACGCTTAAAGTATGTTTTGAAGTGCAGAGTCACATTGTGAACTTGAAAATAATCTTTTCAACCTTCATGAGCAGACGAAACTGTTTATTATGTAAAGTTATTGAAAGTTCAGCATATTCCCTCTAATGCAAGGTATGTGAGACTTTTATGAATCTTTCTAATTTACTCCGAGGATTGTATTGAAACCAGCATTGAATTTTTTTTAATGCATATTTTTGCAAAGCTCGTCACACTCTATCGAAACATATGAAAATACCCAGAAAATGATGTTTCGCTTCAGACATTACAAGCATATTTCATTTTTTGCAAAAAATGTAACATGTAAAATGCTCCGTTATCATGAATGAAATGGTCATAACTTCTCATAACTCTGAAACAATTCGAATCATTTTTTTTAGATGATAGCTCTTCTCATTCTCTCGAAATTGGTATTTTTCAATCAAGTACCTATAAATATATTCGATATAGATAACATGAATTTACAAAGAGGAGTCGAAACTTTTGGAACACCCTTACGCAGTGAGCAGCAATTATATAAAATGTATTCACCTATTCGACTTTCATCGTTAATTTATTCTTGTAACTTGTTTCGTGATATTCTTTTTTCTTTTTGAAACATACTGTGATTTATTATCCAAATATCTTGGAAATTCTCATTCTTAAGGAGTATAAAACCGACTATGAATCAGTTAAAAACGAGGAATTTCAGTTGAAATTCAATCAAACGTCAGGAAAAAAGATCATTGGGAATCGAGAACACTTTTCAGCGATGCACTTCACTTGAAATTTAGATATTTTCATCTTCTACGTTGTTTATACACAAAATCAGGTATAACTAGTATGCAACTGATTCATATACTTTTTAAAAATATGAATATTTCGTTAAAGAAACAAAAAAAAGTTTTATAAAAGTATTTATGAAACAGCAAGATTTGAGAAAGTGTATCGCAAGAAGTGCAGAAGGCAATGTTTTTAACTTTGCGCTTCCCCAATCGGTTATAATTCAGAGTGTGCTACGAATCTTCATAGAAAACGATTGAGATCATCTTTGCTGATAAGCCATACTGTTTTATTCACATTGTCAACACCAAGCATAGCCGTTATGCCATTGTACGTTTCTAATGGAGCAGGTTCAGCATCAATACTCCACATCTCCTCTATATCTGCTATATTACCAGACCAGAAAGGAACATGATGTAGAATTTCTATACCAAAATGCTGATGCGAGAAAGTATTGTACATTTTTGTGTTTAGGATGTGATGATGCCATGCTTTGTCCACCATTGGTGATGGTGCACCCATTCCTTTGTTATTATTTTTAAGAAATGTGTAAAAGTGTTCTAATTCGACAATGGTATTAAGTGTATCTTCACGATTCATATGCTCTTTCATTTGTAAACGTTCAGTGAGATAAAGTACGTCCGTATTTGAAAGTTGAACTTTATCCAACATTGATGTTCGCGATAGTTTATCATGTGCTAGTGTGATTGTAATGAATACTATTTCTATAAGCATCCAGAACAAAATACATTGGAGTTTACGCATTTGTAACGATCGATCGCAAAAATTCTTTTTTTCAAACAGCAAGACTTCACTTAATATTGAAAAAAGTAATTAAGTAGGTGAAATCATTCGAATAAATCACTATCTTTTTTTATCTACGTCAAAAGAAAACTATGACTCTTATTTGCGTCTCGTAAATAACAAGCCATTCATGTATTACGATTATTACACAAGGTCGTTTGCACTAGCCAATGATTTTGGTCCCTTCTGAATATTCGATTTGATCACCTCCATTGATCACGTCACTACGAATAAGTAATCATAAAGTGCTTAATGACGATTTTACATCAAGCAAACTTGCATATAAAGATATAATTAAGAAACGATACACATATTGGCAAATGACTTGTTTCTTTTTTTGTCTGTAAAATGACGGAGAAAATATAGTAATACATAATGCAACATGCATCATAATTAATTCATCCTCACGTGTTAATGTCTCCTTTTCAAACCATATCGTCATCATATTATATGTTCTACTTTTTTTCGTCATTGATGAATATCATTGACGCACATACTTTCATGGCTTCCAAAAATATATCAAAAAAAATACGAATAACTGCGTCATTTGCTTACCTTCACATCATATCTATATAAACAACGAGCATGCGCAACATAATCACAAAATAACATTGAATTTACAACAATCAAGATATCCTCGCATTTCTCATATTTAAAAGAAACAACGATCATCAAAAATACGATAATGCGTCTGATTCTAATCTTAATCTTGATGATTACACTCGTCAACGCATGGCAAGTCGTAGGCGACCCAAAGCGAAACGAAGCTCTTGCAAATCGTAGATTGGCTTTACGTGATCTCGTCTATAGTTCAATGCAAAAGCGTCTCTTTTA